CCCCCCTAAACCTTCCTGCAGGTGGTGAGTCCACTGGAAGGTACCAACCGCCCTAACCAGGATTCGAACTTGGTGAACCCTGGGGTCCTATACCATACAAAAAATGTTTTCTCTACTACAACTACACTACACTGCAGGATGGCAGAAGCTGGAGGTAGGTATAGCCATGGGATGCTCGATCTCTCCCATCTCTTTTTGTTGCAGCTTTCGAGATCGTCCTAATAGGAGCAAGGACGATGGTCGGAGGAGTAAAGCTGCAATCAGGTCAGAGGCTACCCCCAGTGAGAGGCTATATGGGCGACATCGCCACCATCCTCCAGACAGCAGCATGTACAACGAGACTGCTGAAGAGGATTGACGAGCTTGTGGGGTGGGCAAGGATGATGATGATCAAACCTGCCAAATCGTGCAGCCTCTCCCTGAGGAAAGGAGTTAAAAGCGATAAGACCACATTTGTTGTAGGTGGTGAAGAGATCCCACTGCTGGCAAGCCAACCTATCTGCAGCCTTGGGCGTGGCTGCAGAACCCTCGGACAAAAAAATGGGGGAAACAGTGAGGAAGCAGCTGGCAGATGGCCTGGCCCGGTTCAACCAGAGCCAGCTCCCCGGCTGTACAAGGTATGGAGTTACCAGTTCATACTGTACCCAAGGGTGATGTGGCCTCTGAAGATGAGCGAAGTCTCCTTGTCCGTGGTGGACAAGATGGGTAGGCTGGCAAACTCGTTCATCAGGAAGTGGCTAGGACTGCCGAGATCTCTTTGGCAGAAATGCACTGCAGCTACCACTGCGATCCATAGGTCTGGGCTACAAACAAGAGAAGGCCCGGATGGTGCTGGAGCTGAGGGATTCCACGGATCAACTGGTGAGAGCAGCTGCCCCCCAAGTACGAACAGGGAGAAAGTGGAAAGCCCAGGAAGAGGTGGACAGGACGATCAGCAGACTAAAACACTGTGAGGTAGTCGGCAGTGTCCAGGAGGGCCGAGCAGGCCTTGGATGGAGCAAGACCACCCTCTTCTGGTCAAAGGCCTCGAAAGAAGAGCAGAAAGCCATGGTGGTGGCAGAGGTGACAAGGGCCGAGCTGGAACGCCTTAAAATCAAAGCGGTGGCTCAGCAAGAGGCTGGATGTCATGGGAACATGTTACAGACAGGCCGCTGGCATGGACTGATATGTGGAAGATCCCCCA